TCCTGAAGGCGAGATTGAGTCTTTCAAGCGCACTTATAGCTGTTGTTTTCTGCAGCTTCAGATGGAAATGCTTAGAGAATGTGACTCTAGGGAGAATTTAGGTTAAACTAGATGATTTTTTTAGAAGTATAGTTTTTATTTTTGAGACAGCGTCTTGCTGTATAGCTCAGGCTGGCCTTGAACTGGTGGTGAGCCTCCTGTCTCAGCCTCCTGAGTGCTGGGATTACAAGTGTGTGCCATCACGTGGGGCTAAATTGGATGAATTTGTAATCACTTTTACTCAGAAATTCTGTGACTTCAGAAGTATTGTTTTCTGTAGCTTACAGGTTTGGAAATTGGATTTGTGTTAATTAAATTACTAACAGGGAGATAATATGGCTTTACCCAAGAGAAAGTTCAGCAAAATACCGCATATAGTTAGCTTGTCTGTCTGGGGAGTTTATTATTTTTTTACAGTCTTAATTTAGAAATATGTCTTAATGATCATAGCATCTTATTAGCAGTGAAAGTTAACTCACATTTTGTGCTGCACAACGAATAAAGGAAAACCTCTATTATGTAAATGTGTGTTTCATAAGCCTGTGAGCTTCTTGAAGGCCAGCTTGCCTTCCTGACTGCCTGGTGAGGAGAGCCCGGCGTGTCCTCAGTGCTTCATGCAGTCGCGGTTGCATGAGTGGAACTTGCACTTTTTATGACCTTAGTGACCCTTACGACATTGTGAAGTTTTAAGAAATCAGGGTTTCTTGGGCTGGTGAGATGGCTGAGTGGTCTAAAGCACCTACTTAGAACAAGCTTAGCAAAGCACAGGGACCACGGTTCAATCCCCCAGCACCACATGCCAGCCAGCCCCGCCCCCTGGTGGGCAGAGCTGGCCACACACACACACACACACACACATAAATAAATAAATATTTAAAAAAGTCTTAAAAATATTAAAATTAAGAAATCAGGGTTTCTTTAACAGCTAAGTTGTTGACGTGAATTTTTTTGCTTTTGTTTTACAGTGCTGGAGTTAAAAGCCAGTGCCCAACTTCGCTGGGCTGGAGCTCTCCCACTAAGCTAATCCCCAGTTCTTACACCGAGTCTTTGCTACTCTAGCAAAGCAAGCAGCGTGACCTGGGAGGAGGGCACGGGCTCCTTTTGGTGGTCTTGCGCCTCCACAGGCCACTTGCCAGGGGCCGCTTGCCAGCCGGTGGGCCAGGCAGACCTCCTGCCGCCTCAGGAGCTGGGTGCTAGCCGGGGACAGGACTGGACCACCATACTCAGCAGTTGTTTTGTTTTTTTTTTTAAAGTATACATATTTCTGAAAGATTGTGAACTATTTCATTATAAAAATTTTAGCTAGCTCTCTTAGTTGCAAGTATCTAGTTTCAGGCAAAATTCAAGTACAATATTCAAGTAAACCATGCCAAAAATATACTTGTCTTTTAATTCCACTTTTCTGTCAGGAATTTTTTTTTTTTTTTATATTAGGGAAGAGTCTACAGGGTGTTCAGGGTCTCACTACTAGCTCTGTAGTGATCCGCCTGTTTACCGCCTCCCAAGAGCTGGGATTACAGGCGCGCGCCACCACGCCCAGCCTCAGTTGCCCTCTCAGTGTGCCCTGCAGGTGGGGCCGGCATGGCCAGCCTGGGGAGTCGAGCCCCAGCCCCTGGGCCTGCTTGCAGGTGCTTTCATCGCTAAGCTATTTGGCAGGCCCTCTGTCAGGAATTTTTGCTGTTTATTTTTAGAGACAGGATCTCACTCTGTAGCACTGGCCTAGACCTCATAATCTTCCTGCCTCAGCCTCCCGGCATTATGGGCATGTGTCACCATGTGTCACAGAAATCTGCCACAGCTTGAAGGACTACTACAGACAGGGTCCCCTTGCCGTGTACCTGTGGATGTGTGCAGTGTGCACATTGTACACAGAGGCTGACAGACAAAATGGCCCGGACCTGGGAATTCCATTTCATCACCTTCAGGCCTTTTTACTGTTACAGCGCAATCCATGAGAAAGTTACTTTTACATTTAGTGAAATAAGTAAATTAATAAATATAGATTTCTTAGAAGAATGTGTTACTTAAAGGTGCTGTGAAAGTACTGTTTTCGTATCAGCAAAGACAAACTCTGCTTAGGGTAGTAGTTTCATGTACTAATTTAAAATAGTAAAATAGCTCCAGTTTGTTCATTAACTCTAGTTTCTTGCAGGCAATACTTGGTTAAACTTGTATGTGGCTGCTTTTACTTATTAGAAAGGAAGTCATTTAAAGATCATGACTCAGATTTCATACCAGCCTTTGATATGAATTGCGAATGATCTGTAATTCCACGATCATTAGCGTAGTTTGGGAGAACCACAATTAGTATCTTTATTTGGAAGATGAGAACATTTCAGTGAGGAGAAAGTGGTCAGAGAATTCCAATACTAAAAAGGAATTAATAAAAATAAGTCCAATCTGATGATACATCTTTGGCTCTTGAGAGTCAGTGGAATAAAGCAATGAAGGCAGTCAGAACTCTTTGAAAGGAAGTAGAAGACGTGGAAATGCGCCAGTGCTTTCCGAGTACTCCTTCGGCAAGACGGCCTCCGGATGAAGCCGTAGCGATGGTGCAGAGGCCTGTAAGCTTGCTTGGCGCAGGTGCGAAGGAGACGGTGAGGACACCGCAGCGTGGAGGAGTTGGAAGGGTGCGTTTGCACCACTTGGAGAATTAGTGGCCTTGATCTGAGTACTGTTCTACTTCCCCAGATACTATCTTTAGTTCTTTAATAATTCATCATATAAGGAATAAAGAGCTAAAGGGGCAAGATAAAGAATTTTTAAAAAATAATTTTGAGAAACAAATAGCAATGAGACAATTTCAAAAGGATAAATAATTAAAATGAAACAAAAGGGCTGTGTCTTGTGTAGATCAAACAGACAGACACATCTCTACAGTGAATTTGGAAGACTTGATTTGGAACTTCTTTGGTGGGAGTTCCTCTCAGTAATGGTGTGAGTATGGTAAAAATGTTAGCGTCCTGGGGCTGCTGGCCACAGCGCTCTTGCCATCCTCGAGTTACAAGGTTAAGTTTCAGCCTACGTTGCTTGTGTCTGTCTGCTCGCTGTCTCAGTGCAGCCCCCAGCAAGCTGGTTTTGTTGTTGCCAGGGGCGAGGACAGGGTTTGGGTAGCTCTAGGCGATTAGGTCTGGGAAGACTTACAAATTTGGGAAACTAGTTGAGTTCTTAAGAGAAACAGCTAACAGCTGAGATGGGGAAGTTTTAACCACTGAAATTGTGATTGAATCCTATTTGGTATGTTTTCAACAGTCCAAGATCAATTCTATAACGGAGTCTTTGAGAGAAATCTATTCTGGATATTATTTTATTGGGAATTACTGGAACCCTTAAATGGCTCCAGGAGGCATCATATACTTTAAAACAGGGTACCTGGAGGTAGCTGGGGGAGAACTCTTAAGCAAAACTGGCAGTTTAACATTCCTACAAGTAACTGTAGCTTTCCATTCCTGTAATATTTCCTCAGAAAAGGGTCTATCACATCAAGGACTGTAATGAGTATTTTTCTGTTGGGCTTTGTTTAGCAGATTCAGTTTTTATCTGAGAGGCCGTCAGTTAAAATTCATTGACCATCTACTCTGTTTAGGTCATTTTAGCAATCTCGGCCTTCTTTCTATTTGGCAATTAAGAAATCACACTTGCGTAGAGTTCACTCTGTTCATCAGTCATAACAATCTAATTACAAAATTCCACAAGTCACTGAGCCTGATGAAAAAATTTTTGCTATCAGGGTCTTTTTTGATTTTTGTTTTGTTTTGAGACAAGGTCTCTAGTTCAGGGCAGCCTTGAATTCACTGTGGATCCCAGGCTGGCCTAGAACTAACTGGCAGTGATCCGCCTGCCTCAGCGCCTGGGTTGCTGGGATTACAGGTACATGCCACATGCCCAGCATCTTCAGGTTCTTGCAATCTCTTTTAGGAAGCAACTATTTATTTCATCTATGCTAAGGCTAACCGCAAAGACAGTTAAAACCCATTACTTGGAAATGTTTGTTTTATAAACTAGTTCTGTAAGTTTAAGACAAGCAGGGAAACTGGTGTGGATCTCAAGGGAAACTTCGTTACTTAATAACCCCCTCCCCAATCAGCAAGCTGGCTTTTCCCTAAGTGTTTAGGTTTCACTTGACTAGAGGGCTATCTTATTTAAGCAACAAATGTTGTTGTGATGGTGCCATTCAGTATCATTTGAATTTCTCAGGGTGCTGACCTGTGAGCTTGTGAAGCGCTTGGGATGTTCTCTTGCCTTCACAGTCCTTGTAGTCATGCGCTCACTCAGGGATACCTAGGTATGACCAAAATGGGACATTCACAGCACAGCCTGGCTCCATTTTACAAGTCAGTGTAAAAGAGAAGAGTCAGTTGAAATGTTTCCTTGGGGAAGGGAAAAATGTCCAACATGTTTGGCCTTTTAGTAACACTCCTTAAAAGGACCTAGCTGAAGGAAGTCTGGAAGGCCAAGCTTGCCCAAACCCAGTGGGCATCAGTCTTAGATTCCTGCTCTTACAGTACATGTTTTCCTCCTTAAAACTGTTTTACTGTTTCTAATGTGATGGATGTCTTTGGTCCAGAGGATGTTTGAGAAATAACAGACTATCAATAAAAGGAAGATTCCTCTGATAGAGGAAATTTGAATTGCTTGAGCAAGCCATGGCTTTGTCCTCGAGGAAATGTCCCTGTCTACTTACTAGAATCCCAGTTCAGTTAAACATGAGGAAATAAGGCCTTGGTGTTTTAGATAGATTATGCAACGATCTTGGCTCAGCCACTGCTGAACGCGCAGTGTCCACAATCACCTTGACACTTTTATGTGGCTTAGGGTTGGCTATCCAAAATTGACTCCATTTGTGGGGTGGGGTGGGGGCTGTTTTTAAAACTGAGATCTTACTGTGATTTATCATTTTCCCTGTTTTGTTGAAAGTGTGTGCTTGCTACCTTAACATATTATTTTTGTTTCTTTTTCAGATGATTATTGGAGAAGCCCTGTCTGTGTACTGTAACCTCTTGCACTCAAATTCCTTCATCAGGAATAACTACATAGCCACTATTTACAAGGCCATCGGCGTCTTTCTGTTCGGTGCAGCTGCGAGTCAGTCCCTCACCGACATCGCCAAGTATTCAATAGGCAGGCTGCGGCCCCACTTCCTGGCTGTTTGTGACCCTGATTGGTCTAAAATCAACTGCAGTGAAGGTTACATTGAGAACTACATATGTCGAGGGAATGCAGTCAAAGTTAAGGAAGGCAGGTGAGTGCTCAATCTCTGCTGCTCATCTACCTTTGGCCTTCTCGGAACAGAACGTTCAGTGGCTGAAAGGTGAGCCAGCCACTAGCTCCTGTGTGTGTGTGTGTGTGTGTGTGTGTGTGTGTGTGTACCACTGGGGATTACATGAAGTCTTTTGTGTGCGTATGCGTGCGTGTGTGCGTGCTCTTTATTCTCTAATTGCGTTTTATCATTGAAGAGCATTTCACTGATGGATTACCGCTGTGTAAGAGTGTGGCCTGGGCCTTCCAGGTCACTCAGGACAGGTTACGCAACGCTTTTCCCATGGTGGCAGATTGTATATATATTTGAGGCTTTCTGGGCCAGGTGCTGCCTTTTGTAGCTATTGAACTCTGCTCTGGTACCAGGAAAGCAGCCACAGATAACACTGGAGTGGCTTCGTTCCAGCCAAGCGTTATTTATGTGAACAGCAGCTGCCCCGGAGGTCGAGGTTTGCAGAGCCCAGCCTAATGCAGCTATTTCAGTGCTCTGCTGGCGTGCTGGGGCAGCAGCACGTCCAGTAAGACTGAGGCTCCACTAGGTCAGTAGTTTTCTTAGAGGTTCTGTTTTCTCGAGGTAGGGTCTCACGATGCAGCTCAGGCTTGCCTTGAACTCATGCCGCCCTCCTGCCTCGGCCTCCCTTGTGCTGAGGTTTCAGCTGTGCGCCTCCGTACCTGGCAGCCTTGTGTTCTCAGAGTATGTGTCCTCCCAAAACACTTGGCTTTGGCCACGACAGTCCATCCCCAGGGCTGGAGATGGAACCTAGGCAGGCCCCTTACATGCTAGGAAAGCACTCTACCACTGAGCTGCAGCCTCATTCAAGTTGCCACCTTACCTTATTTGGCTTATATTCTAAAGCACAGTGAGGCCAAAATGAAATAGAATATGGACTCCAAAAGGTCCAACTCTGATTTGTTAATAAGGAGTATAATGCAGGGCCAGTAACATTAAGGCAAGCCAGAATTCCTGGTAGTGTCAGTGCCTCAGCTTACCTCTCAGAGCCGGCGTCCTTACCCTTTCCATGGGGTTGCCTTCTAGTATTTCAAGGCTGTTGTTAGTTTCTCTTACCTGATCCTCACCCAGCGAAGGCTCTCTGTGGCTGGGACACCCCATGATTGCTTTCATGTGATTTCCAGACGTTTCGCTGTCTGTTTTGGTTCTCATCCCTGCAGCATAGACCTGCACTTAACCTGTTATTTTCATGTTTATGTCATGAGAAACCACCTTACTTAGCCAGGAAATACACTGTATGGAATGCTGGGAATTAAGCCAGAAGCAAGGCATCTCTGGCCCCATCACTGTGGGGCTCAGTCTAGCAGGGAAGATGCAGAACAAATGGTAAGGAGGAAGAAAACCTCCCTAGGATAACGAGCAGGCAGCCATCAGGCTGCTGAGGGGTAGGCTTTGAGGGGCAAGGAGCGCTGGTGGGGGTAAATTTTTTTTGGTGGAACCAGAGGTTGAACTCAGGCCCTTGTGCTTGCCAGGGAAG